ACCAAGGTACGGAGTGAGATTTTCTAGATGACGGACCAAGGATTTAGAAACACATAACTTATCACTTTGTATGCAAGATACTAGGAAAGAATTGTTATAGTTAGAATTATCAAGTTATGAACTTGTGGGGAACACGTAACCCTAGTTACTTTGATTAATTGATGATAATTTAACTTTCAAAACTGTTAAGTGTCTCTTTCAATTTTGTTAGTTATTTTTACTCATTAGGAAATACAAACCCCCCTTTTTATGTTTTTACTTTCTAAGGAAGTCATCAACCGAACAATAGTAATAACAAGTTGAAGTTAAGTCTAGACTATTTTCCTCATGGGAACGATCCCAACCTCACTAGTTGGGTTATTTACTTGACACGACTACTTTACTTTGAGAAGTAAGTTTGAGCGTATCAAATTTTGGCGCCGCTACCGGGGAATTTAGCTTTTAGATTAACTTGAACTTATTACTAAAGTTTAGTTGATATTTTCTTGATTTTACTTTGTTTTATTGTTTTTGATTTCCTTTCAGAACTATCCTCCTTGTATGCCAAATACACGGAGAGAAAGAGAACCCTTGTTTCCCTACGATCACGAGCTAGAGCGTACACTGCGCAATATGAATCGAAACTTGGGAATAAATGATGAGGATCCAAACTAGAACATCCCAGATCCAGTGGATGTTCATGGTCAGATGTTACCCGACGCTCCGGGTGAACATCAATAGAGGGGACAAAATCCCGTTCCACGGCCCCAAGCATACTACAGAGGGTATGATAACATAGCAGACTCGGATGGGCCACTTGTCTTGCCCCCTCTACCCACAGGCCACACTTTTGTGGTGACTAGTAGCCTGATGCAAATGCTCACTGCCAGAGGTTTGTTTTCAGGGATACCTTCTGAGGATCCACATGCCCATATAGCTAAGGCAAGGGCAGTGTGTAAAAGTTGTGTGGGGAGGCCTGATTTGGATCTAGATGTAATAGCTTTCAGAGTGTTTCCTCTCTCACTGACGGGAGAGGCTGCTATGTGGTTTACTGAGCTCCCATACAACTCCATCTTCACTTGGAAAAAACTACGAGATGTCTTCTTAGCACGCTACTATCCGGTCTCCAAGAAATTAAACCACAAAGACAGGGTGAATAACTTTGTGGCATTACCAGGAGAGTCAGTTAGTAGTTCTTGGGATAGATTCACCTCATTCTTGAGAAGTGTTCCAAATCACCGTATTGATGATGAGTCACTGAAGGAATACTTCTATCGGGGATAGATGATAACAATAAAGCGGTGTTGGACACTATAGCAGGTGGATCTTATGGAGAATGCCCTTATGCTGAGATTGCTGATAAATTAGAGAAAATATCCTGTAACAACAAAGCTTGGAGTACTAGGAAGTCCGATACAGGGAGAAACACCTTCGCAGTGCAGTCCACTCACAACCCAGCCACAGATGATATTCGTGAAGAAATGGCTCAGATGAGAACTGAGCTTGGGTGTTACTAAAACATGTCACTAGGGGTGCAGAAAAGATTAATGCAGTCAACTACTTGGCTAAACCACCACCTCCAAATGATGAGTGCTATTATGCGGAGGAAACTTATGCGGTAAATGAGCAGACAGGGGGTTTCCGACCAAGCACCCAAGGCTCGCATCAGGATAATTGGCGCCAAGGTCAAGGGAACCAAGGTCGGAACTATGGTAACTACAACCATGAGGGTCATTATGTCCGAGATGGAAACTACAACCGCGACAACAAATTTAACAGGGGTAACTATGCTAATAGAAACGACAGGAATGGGACATATGTCCCTCCTCAAAATCGTGAAGTTACTCCAAGGGATGGT